ACGGGAACCAATAAAGCAAACACCTTTACACCTCAAGAGTTCCCCAATATGAACTATGTCTAGGGTCCTCTGTTCAGTTTATGTTTTTTATATATCTTTTCAAGGAGATAAATTGATACCATTTATCAAAACTTTTATGCTACACCTCTACCCCGATATAACGCGACCCGATATAACACGAATTCAGATATAACGCGGTAAAGCAGCACTCCGGGGGGGCGGGGCTGCGCGCTGCAGCAGATCAAAGCAAGTTTGATATAACGCGGTTTCACCTATAACGTGGTAAAATTTTTTGGCTCCCGAGGACAGCGTTATATCAGGGTAGAGGTGTATTTGTTTCTTAATTCTGTATAGCCAAATACCATGAGGATAAAGGAATTGTGCCAAATTATGTAACAGACTGAGTTTGATCTATATAATTTTTCTTACCATATGCAGTTAGCTGCCACTCAAAGCCATTCGCCATAAGTCAGGGGAATTTGTTTACGCCCCTTTACGAGGCTGCACATTTTAGAGTATGACAACAGAAATCAAAGCAGTTATCTAAAGAGAGCTATTTCTTTGGAAATTACACCAGCAGACCAAGTGTGAAATATACTGGACAGTACTTTCACAGTATCTTTAAAAACATGTACACACCTTTTTCACATACATATCTCCAATATGGAGATATGTAGCACCCATATTTACAGATTTAGATGGATTCTAAAATATAATATGTTGACTTTACTGTCAACCATGATGTTTCAGAAAGGGAACACTCACCCACTTCAGAGGTGTGTTCCCCTTTGTTTTGTAGATGGTTGAGCTCTGAGGTTTTTTATTGGCATACCCCCTTACATAAGAACAGCACTACTGGGTCAGACCAAAGGTCCATCTAGTCCAGTATCCTGTCTTCTGATAGTGGCCAATGCCAGGTGCCCCAGAGGGAATGAACAGAACAGGTAATTATCAAGTAATCCATCCCCGGTCGCTCATTCCCAGCTTCTAGCAAACAGAGGCTAGGGACACCATTCCTGCCCATCCTGGCTAATAGCCATTGATGGACCTATCCTCCATGAATTTATCTAGTCCTTTTTTGAACCCTGTTATGGTTTTGGCCTTCACAACATCCTGTGGCAAGGAGTTCCACATGTTGACTGTGCGTTGTGTGAAGAAACACTTTTTGTTTGAAATTAATAGGCAGCAGGTTTAATTTGGAGACCCCTAGTTCTTGTGTTATGAGAAGTAGTAAACAACACTTCCTTATCTACTTTCTCTACACTAGTCATGATTTTATAGACCTCTATCATATCCCCCCTTAGTCATCTCTTTTCCAAGCAGAAAAGTCCCATTCTTCTTTCTCGCTCCTCATATGGAAGCTTTTCCACACCCCTTATCATTTTTGTTTCTCTGTACCTTTTCCAATTCCAATATATCTTTTTTGAGATGGGGTGACCACATCTGCACACAGTATTCAAGATGTTGGCGTACCATGGATTTATATAGAGGCAACATGATCTTTTCTGTCCTATTATCTATCCCTTTCTTAATTAGTCCCAGCATTCTGTTCACTTTTTTGACTGGATGTTTTCAGAGAACTATCCACAGTGATTCCAAGATTTCTTTCTTGAGTGGTAACAGCTAATTTAGACCCCATCATTTTATATGTATAATTGGGATTATGCTTTCCAATGTGCATTACTTTGCATTTATCAACATTAAATTTCATCTGACATTTTGTTGCCCAGTCACCCAAGTTTTGAGAGATCCTTTTGTAGCTCTTCGCAGTCTGCCTGGGTCTTAACTATCTTTAGTAATTTTGTATCATCTGCAAATTTTGCCACCTCACTGTTTACCCCTTTTTCCAGATCATTTAATATGTTCAATAGGACTGGTCCCAGAACAAACCCCTGGGGGACACCGCTATTTACCTCTCAGAAGTTTGACATGACGCTATAAAGAGATCCAGCTATCTAATCTGCTGTCCAGTCCTGCAAGCTACTAATTTAGAGCTAATGAAACAAATGTCCCCTTGGAGATGCTGCTCCTCCTTATATTGCTCTTCTCCACTATAGTGTCAGGAAGGACCTCTACTACCCTCTTAAAATCCTGCTTCTTTTTGAGTTCAGCTCATATCCCTAACTAAACAGGAGATGCTCTCTCAGACCATGAACTGAATCAAGTAATCCAATTTATCAAGATGGGATTCTAAAAAACTGACCCACTGCAACCAACTGTTGTGATACACCAATCCTCTCTAGGTTTCTAGAGATGTGCTCTGAGCACCATAAGCTTGAATGCAAGCACTTGTACACTAGGCTGAACAGGCTCTATACCGGGTGGCTCACCATTAATAGAGTCCAGATAACAGAGGATGTACTTTACTAGGGCTCCCAGAAAATAAAAGGTGCAAGCAACCTAGGTATAATTACTTTTACTGCTACAATACTCATCAGCTTAAAATTACTATGCTAGCTCCTGGGGCAGTCCAGTACCTGGGTATAAAGGTAACTGTATTCCATGGGGATCTTCAGGCTTAGTGCCAGGGATACTTCCTGTCCTTTCCTCTCACAGAGGAATGAAACAATGGCCCGCAGACCAGTGGCTAGAGCTCAATTCTTCTGTCCAGTCTTGTTGGGCCCATCTGCATGGTCCTGGTGTCCACACGTGCAGTTAACACCTTCTGCTTGCAGGCCACTGTGCTATATCCTGTTGCTATGACAACTGCCAACAACAGGCTGGTTTACTGTTCAGCTCTCAGTTTCTCAGTCACAGCTCTAAGGCTGATGACTGCCCAGCCTTCTTTCTGACAGCTAACACCTAGGCTAGAGTTCATGTGCAGCTTCTTGCTCTCTGCCAAGCCTGATCCCTGGTGATCTCTTTCCTATTCTCTCGGCATTGTGGAGGTCTCTACTGACCAGGTTTTGAAATAGGTAACAGTCCTTTCCCTTCAGTTCACTCTGGACGGTTAGAAAGCATCCAGTAATGAGCCAGCAAGATCAATATGCTATAATCCTCACCAAAAGAAGAGATTAGTTTAACATGATTTAGAGGTCTGCAGCTTAAAACTGACAAGAAAGGAAGGATGGGTGGAAGTATGATCCCTTTCTTGTTTTATGGTCACGCTGTGTCACAGCACCAGCACAAGACCAGCCAGATCTCCATGAATCAATAGCAAGTGGTCCATGACCACATTTTGGAGACCATTGCTTTAAATCCTACTACTGAATGCTTTGTTTGTAAGTGGCGTCCATGTGAGCTCCCACATTACTTTCCTGATGGTGCTGAACAAAAACAAGTAATTCTGAAAGGAGAAAACATTATTTGCTCCATCACTGGTAAACTGCCTGTAACCAATTATGATTCCACAGTAAGGTGATCTTAAAAAAGGTGCTTTGGTACTCCAGAAATGATCAGCATGTGCCCAGTGTAGTGCATGCCACACACTGCAGCATACACAGTTAATTTTGTTCTTTATTCTCTAACTTCTGCTTTAAAATCCTGGAGCTTGGAATTTTATATTTTCTTACCACCTGGTTAAACATCAGTTAACCTCTTGGCTCTGGCTGAATGTGTCCCCCATTAAGCCAACTTTATGCTAATTCTGTCTCAAATAAACAGCAGCCATTGCTATTCACTATCATTAAGCTAAATCAGCTCCTTGGGAGACGTCCTAATAAAGCAAGCATCTGTCTCAATTAAAGGTGTCACAAATAAGTGGTGTATGCTGTAGTTAGTTTAAAAAAAATGCAAGACATTCATAATCATTTTAATGAAAAAATATAATTCAGTTAGTGTACTGTCATTTTGACTGCATTTTCCAACAGTCTGCACTTGTTAATTTACTTAATGAAGTTGCTGAAGTAAATTGGGAGTAGTCTCCACTTTATCACTCTCGAATGCATAAAAACCGAACTGAGCTGAATTCTTTTTTAAAATCTTATTAGAAAACAGCTCTAAAATATTTTAAAGCCACTCTCATTCTCTGCTACTTGGTACAACATTTTCCTTTTTGATATTACAGAGCATCTCCTTTTGAATTAAGTATTTTTCTCATTTTCTTTGGTCAGAAGTCGCATATATTTAGTTTTCTGAGGTTAGTATCTATCCTTTATCTACTTGGCACCAGAGAATAATGAATGAGATCTTCTCCTCAAGGCCCTTCATTTTCAGTTTTTATTTATTTTTACCAATTTTATTCCCAGTTTTCACAAAAGCCATTATGGTTTTTTTAAAAAACTGATTTTCATCATATTTTGGAAGTGCCAGAACTCCCCAGACCCATCTCCCTGCTCCAGGAGACATGGATGCTTGGCAGCCTGGGCCACTCAGCGTACTGAGCCACCATCTCTCCCCCAGAGTGGACCCCGAAGGAGAAGAGGTGAGGGAGATAAGAGCACCATCTCCTCATGCTGCCTCCTCCACCTCTTCCACTTCCAGGCCTGCCCCAAGAGAGATGAAGACTCTGTAACCAAGTTACTGACATACCATTTCTCCTTCCAAAAGAGGCTGTTGGCTCACAAGTCCCAGAAAGACTCGAGTGTTGGTGTCCATACTGCTGTTAATCCCATGTCCACCACATACATATTACCAGCTTTATAGATAGCAAGGACAGTTATCAGCATGCAAAGCGAATCTAAGTTAGTGAATTACTTTTCATGTCAAAATGGGTCAAACACAAAAAATCATCTGATGTTTTACAACAAAAGGATTTTTTCAAAAGTTTAAAAAAAAAAATCAGAAGAGAGTGATATTTACCCAGAAAACTGTAAAGTTAGTTTTCGCACTGATTTTCACATGTTTAATGTTTGTAACAAACACTGATATATTCCTGGGAAATTTTAAACAAAATAAAAACCGAAAATGAAAGGCCCCAGGTGTCCTTCACTAGCAGTGCATTTCACAACAGAAAATCCTTATACCCATCAAATGTTACTGGAGCTTCAACCTTTTTGAAGCACTTATATTTTCTGTTTTTAATCAATTGTGGTCAAGGCATTGATGACACAGACAGCATATCACCATAAGGTTATCTTTTATTAGAGATCTTATATTCCATTTCCCCAAAAAGATATAAAACCTTCCAAGAGAAAATATTAAAAACCTTCCATTTAAATCAGTTTGTTTCAGAGACACAATGAACAAGAAAAATCAAAGACATTTAAGATAAGGGAATGTTAAAAAATCTCAATACAGGTACAACTCTGGTCTGGAAAATAAGTACAATGTTTGAAACCATATCTTGAACAGCATTTTCTTTAAATCCATATTTGTGGAAAATAAGGATGCTTGGATCTCTTAACCACCAGTGCAGCTATGAAAATTAGAAAAAATGTAAAAGAACATGATTAATTGGTGTATATATAGTGAATGCACAGAAAACCAAAAATGTCACCAAAACTGCAATAATACAATTAAAGTATTGGGTAACCATTCACAGGAGGCATGGAAAAAGAGCAAGAGCCCAATCTTGAATTGATCACCCAGGCAAAATCTCTGTTTGCTGACTTTGGTGGAAGTTTTGACTGAGATTAGGAGTTCAACATTGGGCCCCAAATTGACTCAAAGTCATAATTTACCATAACTTATAACTTAAACAGAATGCATTTAAGTTTTTCCCTCTGATAAAAAAATTTAAATTACTAGAACAAAGCAGAAGTCTGCTGGTTAAGGAGTATTCAGGCATTATAATTGTACAGCTGGTAACAAATGAAAAACTGATACAATACATTGTTTAATTATATTGAAACAGATCCTTTGGAAACAAGTCCAACAGGCAAGAATACTTTAAAATTTATTGCATCAAAATTTTAAATTTTCTGCTTAACAGAATTTAAGATATTATTTTGAATATCCTCTTTGCACAGAATGCACAGAGTGCTCTGAAGATTTCTCATCTACATATTCAACAAAAATAGAAAATGTTACCACAATTTTCCGCTGGTAAGCCTAAAGACTGTAAATTTCAACTAAAAAGGGAGAAAAATTAAAATACTGTAACGAAGAAAACTTACAGTACATGTTTATTGCATGAAAACATCAATGTACTGTTCTACATACTCTCAAATATAATTCTCACTTTTCATAAATGGTTAGTGGTCAATATATCCTTGACATAATTCACACCAGATTCTGCTAAATATTCTACTCTTAAGTACAAAATATTTAGCAGATTGAACTAAATTATGAATTATGCAATCATGATAAAGAGAGATCCAAACCATGACAGTACATACAAAAAAAAAAAAAAAAGGTAGGTAATTTAATTTTATGTTTGAACTTGGATGTATGGCTACAAGATAGAAATTGATATACCACAGCACCAAAATTACCTAATTAAAATAGTACAGCAGTCAATTTTAGAGTTAGCAGACAGTACGTCTTTTTCAGTTAAGAGGATTTATCATCTGTTAATATTAAAGAAAATCACTGATGAATGCATAAATAAAGCCTAAGCAAAATGAAGTCAGAAGTACAAAGATTAAGGAAGATCAGTAAAGGGAATAATACTCAGACACAAATTAGTATATTTTAATTGTAAACAGTAGCTGTATTCAGGGAAATAGAATTTTCATACTCACATGGCTTCAGCACTCAATGCAAAATACTTGATATGGTGAAAATGAAGTGAGAGGAGTAAGATGCTATTCCTCAATAAGGTAAACATTGACAACATATGTAAGCATGATTATTAGGTTTGAAGAGTGGCATTTTTAAAATATAGGCACGTGATTCTTAATGTACAGTTTACTACAATCTGTGAAATGCAAATACATTGTATGATGGGTTTTGCAAACTATGTCTTATATACTATCAATTCTCTGCATCAAGTTGCAGTTTCCTTGACAGTGGCTGAATTTGAATATTACAATATTCCTTATTCTTCCAATATTTTGTTTTATGACATTGTTTCAGTACATTCAAATAGTCAAAATGTTCAGAACAACACAGCACAAATTTGGTGCCTGAGGACATAGATCAGAGTGTGGCCAGCATGGTCAAATAGAAGAGACACAGTTTAAGTATTATATAAACTACCCTTTCCCCCAAAACAGTGATGTGGACAGTAAAATAGTAACGGGACACATTAAAAAATAAGGCACATTTATCTTGATATGGTAATCTTGATATAGAAAACCCATTTCAGAGAACATCAGTATCCAAATGAGTTTTGTAAAAAATCTTGTATTCATGATTATTACAGATTTACTTTTTTATTGTATATGATAATGGAATAATTGCACATATCCCAATGTGTCAAGTAACGAAATGGGACTTTTATTAAATATTTCTATAATTTTCCATTGCAGGATTAATTTGAAAAATCTCTCTTTTCTTAAGCTATGAAATTCACAAAGTGATGGTAGGGCAAAAAAAAGTTAAAAACTACCATCACTTACAAGACAAAGTCTCCGGTCTTTCACTTTACCAAAGAATTCAAATCTCCATCCCATAGAATAAATTGAAATTCAGTATGGAATAAACTGAGATTACTGTCACTTATATAAATGATTTCAAATATTTGGACATTAGCTATTACACAAGAGCTTTTTATTCCATTTAAGTTCCAAGCTTTATTAGGGATTTCAACATTGCAATTATTTGTATATAAATTAATCAAGGCTCAGCAAAACAAGTCATTTAATCCCACTCCCTCTCCCTTCAAAAACAAAAAACCCCAGAAACCATTAATTATCATTTAACCTGAGATTCAATTTATTGTCGAGAGGTTAACATCCTTAGAAATTTCTTCATGTGTTGCGTTAACTTATACTGATGTTGGTATTTTATGTAAAAACAAAAAAGTTGTTTGCAACATGGCTATTCACTGTGTTGGTCAAAAAAATAATTATAGAATGCATGTTTTCTCACAGTATCCAGAAGCTGGAATAACAATGTGCTTCTTTATTGCACGTCAAACTTAGAGGAAATATAACTGCAGATTCCTCTTCACTATATGAATATTAAAGCCAGGTTTCATCTCAGTCGAATCCGGAACGTATTTATCTCCATAGAACTCATATTGATCTCACTAATATTTCTGGCATCTGGAGGCGAATGCATCAAAGATAAAGATGTAGGTATAAGACTTTCAACGATTAGCTTATTAAAGAGTTTGTGCACCTTTATCTGAAAAATACAAAATTAAATAAAAGTCAATGATATTTAGAAAATTTAATACAAGTTTGAAAGCCAATTTTAAAGTAACTAAGGGCTTGTCTACATGATATAGCAATGCGCACTATGGCTGTATAAATTCTAATGCACATTAGAGTATTGCACACTAACTGGCCCGTGTTGACCCTGCTGGTGTGCATTACAAGTTCCCCACTATGCATTAATGTAGTGATGTTTGAAACAGTACTACATGAATGTGCACTAAGGAACTTTTAGTATGCACCAGCAAGGTCAACAGAGGCCAGTTAGTGTGTGACACATAGTGTTCATTGCTGCATCATGTAGATAAGCCCTTAGTTACTGTAAAATTGGCTTTCAAACTTGTATTGCAATTGCAATTACTGCACACTGCAGAACCGTGTAGACAAGCCCTAAATTAATGATCATTATAAAGGTTTAAAATTAAGTTATGTCACATCTCATTACAGGTAACAGCATGCGTGACAGAGAATCATAACATCAAAGTCATTGAAAATTCCTAACTGACCATATTTAAAATGTTATAAGTTATGCTAGAAAGAACCCATTAGACACTAGTCACTTTGTGTCACATTTGAAAGCAACTAATTAAAATGTATCAATAAATAGGAGGTTTTATTATAGGCATTATGTTTGGCAATATTATAATGAAAATTTTAACCAAGAAAACATTTCATCTTGCCCTACTAACCTGCCAGACAACCCTGCAGTAAACTACTTCCAGGTTGGATTAAACCTACTCTGTGAATGTTATGGATTCATTACCACCAGACAAAATTCTATGACCACCCCCACCCCAAATCTGATTACATAATCAAAGAATCAGAGATGGTAAATTCATTAATGTTTGTGAAGTGTTCAGATACCACAGAGATGTGGGTCATACAAGTACCCAGATACACAGAGAAGTTGATAGAAATGCTTGGGTTGCTATGCTGTTTGCTGCAACCTTCAAGGCAGCATTCACATGAAAGAATTCATATTTATGTTAACTAATCATATGTGCAGAAGACAAATACATTTAAAACTGCATAATATAAGTATTTCCGTAGTAAAATCATTTTAAACAAAAAGCTACTATTTGAAATCATATTTACAGAAAGTTAATAAGACTGAACTCCAACCCGGAAGTTTATGGCAATGTTTTACTAGGGTATTTTTACTTGCCAATACCAAATTAATCTACACACATCAGAATCTTCATATAGTTGTCAAATATAGACCATGTTACTTGGCTTTCAAAAACATTAAATCACAAGCATCCTGAAAATACGGCATTTTAAAAAATGAAATAAATAATTGTTCAACCAGAATTCATACCATAACTATTTTAAAGCATTTTAGATTAAGCATGTATGCAAAAATTACCTTATAAGCTAAAAATCCTCTAATATTTCAACATACCTTTCCCTGAGTAGTAGAGCATAATAGCCCTGTGTCTTTGTTTGAAAATTTACAGTCAAATCCTTTTCTGTGAAGGATCAAGGCTGCTTCATCAGATGGCCCAGAATCTGCCTGCAAACACACAAAATGTAAGTGTACCTTGGAAACTAAATGCTACAAACAGGAGACTTTTAGAACCTCAGACTAATCATTAGCATTTGACCTCTGCGCCACTTATGTTATGAATACCATTTTCCCTAAGCCGACAGAACACATTTCATGTAACAGTTGTAAAAGGACTGAATGTGCAAGAATTTTCTTTATTTTTAAAGTATCTTAAAAACCTGATCCTAAATTTAAATGCACTGGTAATAGTTGTATTAACAGGCTTCTCAGAATAAGCAAGGAAGTAAAGGCTTCATAATTATGCAAGCACACCTCCAGGTTTAATTACTGACCATGACTTTGGTCCCTGCCAAGCTTTAATACTTTAGGCTTAGAAACCTAGCTACTAATCAGTTACAAAATTTACTAGAGACTATGACCAATAATGTAAACTATGAGATTAACTGTGCAGGTTGGTACATGGGCCCAGAACCCACAAAAGGGAATATGCGAGAGTTCAGGTACTCATTGAAACTCAGTTGTGTTTGATCTAATATGTAAAGTCTCTTCAAGTAATAATCACCACAATTATTATTACTAATTGCTTATATTACAGTAGCATAAAAAAGCCTCAATCAGAACCTGTCTTGCTAGGGACTCTACAAAAACAAAGAAAGACAATACAGCTGTCTGGGAAATAATTTCACTTCCATGAAAAATTCCCAAATTGGAATGAAAAGCCAAAACTCCATATTTTTTCATGGAAGTGAACTTCTGCAATATTTTGTTTCAGAAATGAAACATGCTCCCAGTGCTCCCAAGGAGCCTGGCTGTCTGCAGAGGAGCCAGACGACCAAGCTGGCAGGATACACGGCTGGAAACTGAAGGACACCTGCCTGGTTTTCATCAAAAGTTTCATAGAAATCAACACATTTCCACAGAACATTTTGATTTCAATGAATTTGTGTTTACTGAAGGGAAAAACTTTGCATTGGAAAATTCCTGACCAGCTTTAGCAGAGTGTACCGGCTTTAAAGAGCTTATAAACTCAGATGACAAATCATGCAGGAAAGGGCAATAGACAGGAAAACACCAAAACATGTAGTTTTTATGTACAAATATACTTTTTTGTGGCCACTGAGCCTAAGCATTTGGTACTATCGAGTATTGGCACAATTTTAGAGCTGATCAGAAATTTTCTGACAAAACACTTTTCCATTGGAAGATGCAGATTTGTTGACAATTAACTTTTTTGTGGAAATGTGTAGATTTTGGTGAAACTTTCAATGGAAATCAGGCAGGCAATGGAAACTCGCCTAGTTTCCTGCCAGCTCAACCACCTTCCTGTCACCTCCACACAGCCCACCAAATGAGTTGCCACAGATTCATGGTGCCCAGGTTTCCTGGCTCTGCCCTTTAGGGGTAAAAGATTTTTTCAAAAATTGAACATTGGTCATGGGTGGGAAAGACTGTTTTCCAGCTAGCTCTAAACAAAATACTTCTACTAATTTCACAAAATCAGAGTCAATTCATTCTTTCTTTCATTTAGTTCTTCCCCATTAAGTATTTCTATTAATGTAATCAAAAACAGATTGTAAGTCAATAAATGCTGCAAAACACGAGATTTACATTTAGTGTGTTTATCAAACAGTAAAATATGAAAGTACAGTCATTTTTAGAGTAACCATCCTACAACCATCCTGCTATTCAATAATTAAGTCCATGCATTCTATCCAGTCTTAAGATCCATCAATGAACATGTACCATATATTTTAGCAGGAATGTCAGTACACTTTCACCCACTTTACAAAGGAGTGGAGGTATAAAAGGAAAGGGAAGGAATGCATAAAGATAACTTGTCCTTCAACTGAGCAGAAGGGTATCTGATAAGCCCCTTCCATTTCTTGCCATTTGAACACAAAATGTGGTAGCATTTGGCCTTCGAGTATGAGATTAATATCTGGACTGCAACAGTTACTGAGCAGTTGGTCTGCAACTGATTGCCAAATTGCTAGGTGGCACAAATACTTCCTGCCTCTGATAACTGAGAAGAAGGCTGCTCGTAATAGGAGCCAAGAGTTCTAACAAGTTTGCTTCTATGCTGACTTCCTTGATGAGCTCAGCCTGGGGCTGTAAGACCCACAGATGGGCTTCTCAGCATAGGTTTGAAGCTTTTTCATTATGGTGGGTACATCAAGTCCAGAATACTAAGAAACTATTATTACAGAATATACACAGGGCCTCACCAAATAGGCAAAGCTATGGATTAGCTGCAGGAGAGACCTCTGAGCCGAAGTCCAGAGAAGCAAAGAAAGTGGAAACTACCTTCACTACCTTCCTATCAAAATTTTTCACATTGTCGGGTGCTAGACTGGTCTACTAGGGGCTGTGGAACAGAAAAAAGAGGAGTTTGGGTGATCTGTGGAAAAATAACTCCAGATCCAGTCCAACCGCTCAATGCACATGAATTACTGTGACTACAGCAGAGGGTAGCTTCTGCTTCATATCTAGCTTTTTTCCTTGACTTTAGTATGGCTTTTGATACTGTCCCACATGATCTCCTCATAAACAAATGGTAGAAATATAGCCAAGATGGAGCTGCTATAAGGTAGCTAGATAATTAGTTGAAAAACCATTCCCAGAGAGTAGTTATCAGTAGTTCAAAGTCAAACTGGAAGAGCATACCTAGTGTGGTCCTGCAAGGACGGGTCCTGGTTCTGATTCCATTCAATATCTTCATCAATGATATAGATAATGGCAGAGAGAAAAAACGTATAATGTTTGAGGATTATAACATTATGGTAGGGGTTGGAAGTGCTTTAGAGGACAGGATTAAAATTCAAAATGATCTGGACAAACTGGAGAAATGGTCCGAAGTACATAGAATGAAATTCAATAAAGATAAATACAAAGCACTCCACTTAGGAAGGAACAATCAATTGCACACATACAAAATGGGAAATGACTGCCTTGGAAGAAGAATGTGGAAAGGGATCTGGGGGTTATATGGATCACAAGCTAAATATGAGTCTGTTGCAAAAAAAGCTAACAGCATTCTGGGATGTATCAGTCGTAGTGTTGTAAGCAAGACAAGAAGTAATTCTTCCATTCTACTCCATGCTGACAAGGCCTCAACTGGAGTATTGTATCCAGTTCTGGGCACCACATTTCAGCAAAGATGTGGATAAACTGGAGAAAGTTCTGAGGAGAGCAACAAAAATTATTAAAGACGTAGAAAGCATGACCTATGAGGAAAGACTGAAAAAATTGGGTTTGTTTAGTCTGGAGAACAGAAGACTGGGGAGAGGGGGGACAAGGTAACAGTTTTCAAGTACATAAAACATTGTTACAAGGAGGAGGGTGAAAAATTGTTCTCCGTAACCTCCGAGGATAGGACAAAAAGCAAGGGGCTTAAATTGTAGCAAGGGAGGTTTAGGTTGGACAATAAGAAAAATTCCTGTCAGAGTAGTTAAGCACTGGACCAAATTGCCCAGGGAGGTTGTGGAATCACTGTCACTAGAGTTTTTAAGAACAGGTTAGACAAACACCTGTCAGGAATGGTCTAGTTATTACTTAGGGTATGTCTACACTTACCTGGTAGTTCGGCGGCGAGCGATCGAACTTCTGGGTTCGACTTATCGCGTCTTGTCTGGACGCGATAAGTCGAACCAGGAAGTGCTCGCCGTCGACTGCGGTACTCCAGCTAGACGAGAGGAGTAACGCGGAGTCGACGGGGGAGCCTGCCTGCCGCGTGTGGACCGAGGTAAGTTCGAACTAAGGTACTTCGAACTTCAGCTACGTTATTCACGTAGCTGAAGTTGCGTACCTTAGTTCGAATTAGGGGGTTAGTGTAGACCTGGTCTTAGTCCTGCCCTGAGTGCAGGGGACTGGACTAGATGACCTATTGAGGTCCCTTCCAGTTCTACACTTCTATAATTCTATGATTCCTGTGCTCCTGGAGCAATCCCTTAGACAGCTGGCCACAGAAACAGCTCACACACAGAAGGGCTACAGGCTCAGAAAGCTGTTCAACAGCCCAAACTCTGCGTCTCTGTTTTCACAACAGAGTTCAGCAGTCAGATTACAGGTTCCGGGAGCTATACAATGATTCCCCCCCACTTTGAGCAACTTAAAGCCTTCTGGCAAGTAAGATTTCTGGCTGAGGAGCAGCCAATGGCAAGGCACAAAGAATTTGACAACACAAATAAAAACAGAAAATGAAAAACAGAACAATATATAAGACAAGGAGAGCAAATAAGAAAAAGCAGTCATACAGCAACAGTGCTAGATGTAAGGGGTACCATGAGTGTGCGGAAGGGGGTGGGGAAACGTAGTAAATGACATTTATCCATCAAAAGGAAACTCCAACAAAAGAAGATTGGAAACGACTGATCCAAGACACTTTCAAATTCAACCATCACTGTACTGACAAAACCCACTGTGAATGTGGATCACCTGGAATAATGAAGATGAGGTTGAGCCTAAATCAACTCATTGTCATGTTTTGGGTACACCTGAAGATTCAGTTATTGAAGAGAAGTTGCCACTACAGCCAGAGATTCAGTCAATATCCTTGATGCAAATACCCTTTGCTGGGTGGAAAGACAATACCATGTCCCAACTGGCTTCCTTGCTCAGTTAAGACTAAATGCATTTTCTATGAGACTCCTGTTATCAAGATCTTGAGGATGGAGAGCACTAAACCAAGTACTACAAGAAAACAACTATGGCATTCTGGATCACCTTATTGGTAAAACATCACCTCCCATAGCACAGTGTCTGATAGTAGAATAAAATCCCAAGCATTCATTACTGACTGAAAAGATAGAAAAAATAGTGTAACTGATACCACTAAGTAAAACTTGAGCTTTACTTGAAAGTTCCTCATTGAAAATAAGATTCTTAATTACTGAATTGTGTGTACATTGGAGAATAGTATTAAACAGGTATACTGTGTTTAGTACATTTGTGAGTCAAGAATTTTTCTCTATACTGTTTATTAGAATAATAACTCATTAATATATTAT